AGGCTGGCCGTCAAGTTTGAGGCAGTCTTACATCGAAGTCCCGCGGAGATCACGAACGTGCGTGTCTTGCTTTTCCTGTAAGTACATAACGTTTCCGCATTGTTCAACGCGACGATGTGTGCTCGCGACGGCACGCGCCCAATCGATACCGTGCCGTCGAGAAGCTTGCGTGCGTTTTGTTGCCAGCGCGCGCGACCGCCGCCATATTGCCCGTTGGTGCCCGATTTTTGGAAGACGCTCGTCGCGATCGTTTTTTTGGGTGACGAAAACAAACAGTTGAAATATTCGTTCGAAGCGAGCGTTCGTTCTATATAAATGTACGCGATGTCTTTCGCGTAAACGGGGCGGTATAGTAACTTCGGTGACGTTACATCCACGTAACGGAGGGACTTCGCGCGTACCTATCATACGTTAAGCTCTCTTTTTTGTCGCGACATCTTTTGTCATATATTTTTTTAAATATGATATAAGGTAAACAGCCTAGTTATAGGCATCTTTATAGCAGTGGCCCTGATTTTCTATTATTTACAAACGCGATATATTGTTAAATCCTAAACAAACTATTTTAACACGTGTCGTAAAGCTTTCTGAGTAAGCGTCACCTATATTTTTAGTTAAATCATTCAATTCTAATAAATAAATAATTATTTTTATAATTCTTGTTACTGCCGGCGTTTTTGACATTATCGAAGTGCTTTGTCGCACTTTATGGCACCAACGGGCCCACGTTTCGGTATTTTGAGACGTCACAGTTACTTAACGTGTCCTGCGTATAATTTTAGCAATAATAATCAATGTTCACGTACTACGTAGCTTGTAGGTATATTTTGTCAACCTCTATGCAAAAACTACATATAATATAAGACATATGCACAGTTTTACAAAATATATTTTGTCAACCTCTATACAAAAACTACATATAAAATAATACATTTTGCACACTTTTATAAAGTTACGTATGAGTTTTTTTTAATTTTTCTTCACCTTGTAGGATTTCTAATAGCTATTTTTTTACTTTTTTTGTTCGAGCATCTGTGTACCTTGCAGCAGATTTTTTCTTCCTAAGCACATTAAAATAAAATATATTAAAATATTTTGTATTAAAAATACAATCTATACTTAGTTCGAAAGAAGTATTCTGTACCTTTTTGATGCATTCTGAAATGACGTAGTTACCTTCGAAGAGTCCAAAGTCTCTATCACTTTTTTTTCTATCTATGCTTACTCTGTTACAACAGATTTTTTATATATTACATTTAAATACTAAAAATAAGATAGGTGAAAATAAAATACAGAAAACAAAATGTTATATATTTCACTTTTAATGTACCACTCGGGTTCGATATATATATGTATTTCCGTAATACAATAACTGTTTGAGTAACTTGCGAGATTGCCGGTTGAAGCAAGACTCCGATCCCCGCGGACTCCACACACACGTTCGGTTCCCCTATCGGAGAGACGCGGATCTACCTGTGTCGCTAGCCTTGCGGACGCACGTCTCTTAGAAGACGCGCGCTCGTCGGATAGTGAACGCGCGCTACTTACGCCGATACATAACATCTCTTCTCCCCGTAAATATTTATGCGATAAATACGTGCCGAAACGGTCCGGTGGTTTTCGCTGTCGCGCTGGTTGTGCATGGTTCGCCGCTAACGCAGGTGGTGTCTTAGACACAGATGGTAGCTGGGGGTGGACGGTTTGATCTGGCGTTTCCTCCTCCTCGACATCCGAAAGCGTATCCTGAGCATCTTGTTGTTCAGAAGGTGCTTTCGACAGTCTCTTTCTCTCTGATAACACGTGCGGTGATTCACGAGATTCGTTCAGATTCTTAGAATCTAAATGTACATCCTGATTTCCATAATCCAACATTTGCCGTGGAGTATTGTCGGCCGTTGCCGAACCTACCGCTCGCATTTAATTCACGTGTTCCAAATTTTATTATTTTGCAACTGCACTCTATAATGTAATCTACCTAACTTTTCACGTACTGTCTTGAAACGCCATTTAATGTTTTTATCTATGTATTCCTGTACAGCCACTCTCTCTCCTATCTTAAATTGTTTAATAGTCATATCGCTTTCGATCTTCTGTTCCGTTCTAGGAAAGATCAGATTTAATCTGTTATTTAAATTTCTACCAAACATTAGTTCTGCTGGCGATTTTCTGGACTCCTGATGTGGTAACAGTCGGTAGTGGAATAAGATCTTTTGCAAATTTTATTTACTAGGTGCCCAACTAAGTTTCCGGGTTTTTTTTATCAATAAATACAAAAAATGGTTTATTCAAAGTATCGTCCCTCGCTAGCTATACATCTCTCTAGCAATACATGAATACCGCGACGATAAAACGACGCGTCTTTGGACTGAAACCATTTATCCAACCAATTTTGCACTTCTTCGAAATTGGTCAAGTGTAGCCCAGCCAAGCCATGCGCCATCGACCGGAACAAGTGATAATCGGAAGGCGCCAGGTCTGGCGAATATGGCGGGTGCGGTAGCAGATCCCATTTCAGCGTTTTGATGGTGTCCTGGACGCAAATGCTGTTTATTTGGCACGAAACTCGACATCTCCGTTGTTAGAAAAAATATTTTTGCGTTGCGATATGTGTTGGTATAACGACTGGTTATTGTTAACAGATGTCCAAGCTATAACTTTTCAGACAACTTCAAACATGTAAGTCGAGTACATGTGTTATTAGTGCCATCTATGTGTGAAACCCGGAAACTTAGTTGCGTACCTAATAACATTTTTATCGGTAGTCCCTAATTTCCATAGACCTTGTTTCAATGTTTGAACAAAACGTTCTGCTAACCCATTTGTAGCTGAGTTGTATGGTACGGTGCATTTATGAAAAATACCATTTTGCTTTAAACAAAATTAAAATTCTTTAGAAATAAAAGTTCGGCCATTATCCGATACTAATACTTGTGGCAATCCAAACGTGGTAAATATTTCTCGACACTTTTCTATAGTTGTTTCTGCGTTAATATTTTTCACGATATGCACCTCGGGCCATCGGGTATATGCCGCAACCAAAACCAAAAAATTATACCCCAGGAAGGATCCCTCAAAATCTACATGTATGCGTTGAAAAGGTTCTGTTGCCGGTTCCCAACTATGTTTAATTTTAACGCTTTTAGGATTATTACTAAATGTATTGCCGGCGCTACAATTTTTCGCTAACATTTCAATATCCTTATCTATACCTAACCACCAGCAAAACGTTCTACTTAAATTTTTCATTTTAACGCAGCCGAAATGCCCTGCGTGTACGTCTCTCAAAACTCTACTTGATAAGGATTTTGGACGTACTACTCTTTCTTTTCTAAAACGTGTTCCTTCTTCTAAGGAAAATTCGTTATCCTGGTAACCTAACGGTACGAGACTTTTTTCTTGTTCTAACGCATTTACTATTTTTGCTAGTGATTTATCGTTACGCGTTTCTTTATAAATCTCTTTCGCTGTTACTGGTAATGTTTCTAAATTTTTTATTAGAAATACATTTATGGGGTCGTAGTCCTCTATCCGCTTTTCTGCTCGTGGTACGCGCGAGAATCCATCCGCCGTACCGTGGTCACTTGACTTTCTATATTTAATCGAGAACGTAAATGCCTGTAAAAATATTGCATAGTGTTGCCGTCGCATCGCGCTATACGCTGGCAAACCTTTTTGCGGATTGAAAATTTATGTTAATGGCTTATGATCCGTTACCAACGTGAAATGACTACCATATAAAAACTGATGAAACTTTTTAATACCAAATATACGTGCATACGCTTCCTTATCGATTTGGGCGTACTTTTTTTGCGTGTCTGTAAGTGAGTTTGAGGCGCACTGTATCATTCGCTCGCTTCCATCCGGGTATACGTGTGATAATACAGCGCCCACTCCATACGGGTTAGCGTCAGTGGCCAAAACACGTGGCAATTTAGTATCAAAAGGAACTAATATTTCCTCTTTCTCAAATTCCGCTTTTGCTCGTTTAAACGCTACTTCATAATCCCTTGTCCATTTAAAATTAACGTTCTTTTTAAGTAAGTTATTCACGGGGCGTAGTAAATCACTCAGGTGTCTACGAAATCTCCCATAATACGTAATTAACCTAATAAATGCTCTTAGTTCTGTGATCGTGGTAGGTCTCGGCATTAACCGTATCGCTTCAAGTTAATTTTTTTCTTTAGAACGTCCATTTTTACCACGTTCGTACCCACAATACGTAATACTGTTTTTAAGAAATTCACATTTATCTTTATTAATGCATATCGTATGCTCCGCTAATCTTTTAAAAACTAGTTCTAACCGTTGCATATGTTCTTCTCGGTTCTTTCCCGAAATTCTTATATCATCCAAAAATACCGCGATTCCTGGAATTCCATTTAAAATCTCTTTTTGTGTTCGTTGCCAACGTGTTGACACTGACGCTACTCCGTACATCAATCGGTTACTTCGGTATAACCCTTTATGTGTATTCAATGTTAAAATCTCTCTATCCTGTTCGGTTAACGGTACGTGTAGATATGCCTGTTTTAAATCTATCTTAGAGAATACTCTTCTTTCAGCCATCGACACGAAAAGTTGGTCTGTTGTCGGTAAGGGGTGTTCATCCACACGTAGCCAT